CTTTTTTCTGCCGAACCAGTACTAAGGCACCCAGACATGGACCAACCCTTCATAATACAGGCAGATGCAAGTGATGTGGCAGTGGGGGCTGTGCTATTACAAGAAAATGATGATGCAGTATTGCAACCCTGTGCATATACATCCAAGAAACTCACGGAAACAGAACAGCGCTTGCCCGTATGGGAGAAGGAGGCTTATGGGATACGTTGGGCATTACTCACATGGCGACAGTTCCTGGAAGGCAACAAAATCCCCTTCCAGGTGTGGACTGATCACAAAAATTTGGAAGCCCTGAAAACTTCCAGGAAACTCAATCCCAAACAAGCCCGCTGGTCCCAGCATTTTCACCAATTCCAATTTACGCTCAAACATTTACCAGGACGAAGAACTTCCTGGCAGATTGCACTACTCGCTGCCCCATATACAGCGCACGACCACAACTCTAGACCAATAATGGCATAGTTCACAACTGGCAGCACCAGTAACTACCAGAGCCCAAGCTAAAATAAAACCACAACTGAGCAGCCAAACTGGAATTGACTTCCGGAAAAGTTTGGAAACAGATGAATGGTTCCAGAAAAACAAAAATGTGTGCACAATGAGAGACGGGTTGCCTTGGGTAGGGGAAAAGTTATATATACCAACAACTCAAAGAGTAACTTTCATGCACATTTGCCATGACACAAAATCAGCAGGGCATTTTGGATTTGTAAAAACTTTACATTTAATTAAACGGCAATTTTGGTGGCCATCCATGAAAAAGGACATTGAAAATTATATAGCCAGTTGTCCAAAATGTGCCACGGCAAAGAGGTTGCAAGGGAAAGTGCCAGGACTATTGCAAACAGTGGCAAGTCCCTCAGCCCCCTGGAGAGAAATAGCCATGGATTTTATAGTGGAATTGCCAGAAAGCAATGGGAATACTGTGGACTGGACGGTCACGGACTTGTTTTCCAAACAGGTGCACTTTATCCCTTGCCAAAAGATTCCCACTGCAAAAGCCTTAGCAAAACTTTTCATCCAACACATTTACAGATTGCATGGGGCACCCCAACGCATCATCTCTGACAGGGGGTGCAATTTACGTCTGCATTTTGGAAGGAATTTTTATCCCTCTTAGGAACCACTCAGGGACTGACATCTAGCCACCACCCTCAAGGAAATGGGGGGGCTGAAAAAATGAACTCAGTACTTAATCAATATTTAAGATGTTTTCTTAGTTTCCAGCAGACCGAGTGGGCGGACTTACTCCCCTTTGCAGAAGTTGCCTACAATAATGCAGTCCACTCCAGCACAGGTTACACTCCTTTTCAAATAGCCACCGGTCAAAGTTTCAACCCCATGCCAGAATTAACCTCAAATGAACCAACGATCCCCTCGCTGAAAGAATGGATGGAAAAATTACAAAACACCTGGCCAATAGTCAGAAAAGCACTAGATGAAGCTAGGCAGGCTTACAAAACACAAGCCGATAAAAAAAGGGTTGAGCCTACACCATTCATTATATGAGAGATGGTGTACTTATCTACAAAATACCTAAAGTCCCTACAGCCCTGTAAAAAACTTGGACCAAAATACATAGGACCTTTTCCAATTAAAAGAATCATAAATCCAGTAACAGTAGAACTAGAGTTACCCAAAAATCTCAGGCACATACACCCAATTTTTCATTGCAGCTTGCTGAAAAGAGAGCATCAGTCACCTCTACGGCCAAAAATCCCCCCCCACCACCACCTCCAATCATGGTGGAGGGTGAACAACACTTCGAAATAAAGGAAGTCCTTGACTCTAGGAGATATCATGGAGCAACTCAGTACCTAGGTGCCTGGAAACACCTCCCTCCCTCACAAAATGAGTGGGTCCATAAACGTCATGTCAGAGCCCCGAAGCTATTGAAGAAGTTTCACACAGAGTATCCTAACAAGCCTGACTAAATTTTATACTTGTGTTTTCTTTCAGGTGGATCTCTCTTATTTTTAAGAGGGGCCGGATGTCAGAATCCAATCATATTTCATCTTTAATTATCAAATATAGAAACTCCCAATTCTGACTTCTTTGGATTCTGCCATAAGAGGGAGAGAAGGGGGAGAACAAAGGGACTTTATGGCCCTCACTTCCTTCAGTACACTTCAAAGAGCTGAATGCTGAATGTGTGTTTATTGTAACATCAAAGCGTTAGCACTAGAGAACCTTATCATAACAAAGCAGGGTACTTGCCTTTCATGTAGTTACCTGAAGTCTCCATTCAGACGGAAGAAAGAAGAAAGGGGGTGGAATTGTGATACTTGAAACTTATCACTGGAAGGGGGGTTGATTGGGTGGGACTACTGGGGAACCCCTTAAAACCTTGAATGGAAGAGCTTGAACCCCAAGTCCTGTCTAGCATGCCTGCAACCATTTTCTCTTAATAAAGGATTCCTGTTGGAAGAATTATTCCAAGAGTTCTGTCTTCTTAAGATGCAAAGTGGGGTGGGTCCTTACAGAAATTTTAGCACAGTATGGACAGGTCTCTGGTTTTAAGGTGAACAAGAATAAAACTAAAATATTATTGAAAAATATGTCTGCGAAGGGAAAATATATTATAGTTGAGGCAAAAGGTTATGAAGTAGTTAATAAGGTTAAGTATTTGGGAATATATATTACAACATCTAATGGAAAATTGTATAAGAATAATTATGAACGCTTATGGGTAAAAGTAAAAAAAGATTTAAATGATTGGCAAAAATTACAATTATCGTTACTGGGAAGAATCTCAATAGTAAAGATGAATGTTCTACCAAAGTTTCTTTTTTTGTTCCAGATGATACCTATTTTAAAAAAGGATGCTAATTTGGATGAGTGGCAGAAGGGTATCAATAAATTTATTTGGGGTGGGAAGAAATCAAGGGTAAAGTTTAAGATTTTACAAGACGCTCGAGAAAGAGGTGGACTTAAAGCACCTAATTTGAAATTACATTATGATGTGGCCACTTTAACTTTAGTAAGCGACTGGCTTAATTTAACAAATAAAAATATTCTTGCTCTTGAAGGTTGGAATTTATTATATGGCTGGCATGCATATTTAATTTTTGATAAGAAAGTAGATTGGGTTTTTAAGTCAACACATTTTAAGAAATGCTTTACTTCGAGTTTGGAAGAAGTATTATTGTAAGTTAAATTATAAAATACCTATTTGGGGGATTCCTGGACAAGCAATCCAGGGGGTTTCTAAGGGGATGAATTTTGATAATATTTCGTATAAAGAGTTACTTATTTGGTCGGGTACTGATGGGCAACTAAAGTCTTCAGATGTGCTAAGGCAAGAAAATATTTTACAATCATGGTTTCAATATTTGCAAATAGTGGAGAGGTGGACCATAGATAAGAAAGTGGGAATTACTTTAGCAGATGAAAATTTGGTAATTCAGATTAAAGATCAGAAATGTGCTCATATTAAAAGAATTTACAATGAGTTAATAAAATTGGATTCGGAAACAGAGTTAGTAAAAGATTGTATGATTAAATAGGCTCAGAATATTCAGGAACCGATTTCATTGGATTTATGGGAGGTAATTTGGATTAGAAATGTTAAATTTATGCAGGCTCAAAACTTGAGGGAAAACTTTTATAAAATACTTTATAGATGGCATCTGGATCCTAAAAAGTTGTCTTGTATGTACCCGAACCTGCAACCTAAATGTTGGAGATGTGGTTGCTTGGATGCAACTTATTTTCATGTTTGGTGGACTTGTAAAAATATTAAAGCTTTTTCGATTATGATTTGGTGGAACATTCAAAAGGTTTTTAAAAGGAAGATTAAGTTTACTCCCCAGTTATTTCTTTTGGGTATTTTTGTGGATTTGGATGCTAAAGAAACTATTTTAATGTTGAATTTAATAACAGCAGTGAGATTATTGGTGGGTCAATATTGGAAGAAGGATTCTCTGCCTTCTTTAGAAGAATGGGTATTTAAGGTTTCTAATTTAGCAGAAATGGCTAAAATTTCTGCTTATTTAAAGGACCATTCACAAGAGAGATATGTTATTGTATGGAGAAGATGGATAGAACATGTTCAGAAGAAGTATAGAACTACAAAGTTTCATTTATTTTATGAGTAATAGATTTGTTTATAAAATTATGATGTTAAAGTTTGAAGAGAGTTAAGGGTTAGTATGATTTTCGTTGTTGTATAATTAGTAAACTTAAATAGATTATGTTTAATATGTTTGTATAACCCTGTACTTTGCTCTGGGAAGTGGGGGGGAGGGGTTGAAGGTTAAATAGTTCAGATAAGTAGAAATAGTTTCATTGTTTATAATATTATGTTTTATTTTGGAGAGAGGAATTGCTCTGGCATTTTTCCTGGACTGCATCCGGAATGAGAAGATAGGAGGAAGGGGAGAAGTAAATAGGAAGGTTGAGGAGACGGAGGAGAGGGGGAGAGTGAAGAAGAAGAGGGAAAGAGGGAAGTGAGAGAAGAGGTTAGAGGGTGGGGGGAAATGGGTGAGCAATACCGAAAGTTATGTGTATAAATTTACTTTACTCTTTATCTGAAGTATTTTTTATGATGTAATGTAAAATTGAAAATAAAATTTTTTTACAAAAAAAATAATAATGGTGACAAGCAAACTTTTTTAAAAAGCATCTCTTTCAGCCTTTAGGACCAAGAATTTAATGCTATTAATTAATTGCTCGGACCTGTATTCAGAATTACCTGAAGAATGGAAAAGAAGAATAATTGAAAACAAAGATTAAAATTTTAAAAATTATTAGCAGCCCTTAAGGAAAAACAAAACTCTTGAAATACCCATAGTCAATATTTCTATGCTAGGCAGGACAGTCGAGTTTGACTTTGTCCTTCATTGTAGAGTTTTCAAATTCTTGTATTGATTTTTTTTGGGAGGGGGGGAGAAAGCAATTTTGTTTAAGTGCCATGGAGGCAGCAAAATATAAACTTAGTTTCTTCAGCAACTTTAGAACAAAAACATGAACTAGTTATTTATGATTCCTAAAAAATGTAAATATGCAGCAATTTTATTTACAGTTTTTGTAACAGAATCTAGAAGGGACAGGCTTATGATTTAAGGCATTCAGTGTATTCTAATTTTGCTAACCCCTTGTTTTTACTTTTAGGCAATACTGCAAAGATATTCATTGAGATTCAGGATGAAAACGATCATGCTCCTATCTTCACAAAAAAGATTTATATAGGAGGTGTCTCTGAAGACGCTAGAATGTTTTCTTCTGTGATCAAAGTAAAGGTAGGAATTATGCTGAACAACCCGTTTTGCTTTCAATATTTTTAAAAGGTACACTTATAAAGCAACCTACCATCCATTCAAACACGTACCCTAGAGTCTTATCTGCATGCAGAAAGACCACTTGGTATGCATACAGATTTTCAGCTGTCTGAGAGTGGAAGATTTGCTTATTGAAAATTATTTAACAGAATTTTCCATGCCATTAATACTTCCAGTGAGATCCAGTATTTTTAACTCGTTATTGATATAAGTGGTTTCCAGGGCTTTTTTTTTTTTTTTTGGTCATAGAACGCCCAGAACGGAGTTTCGGCACCTTTTTGGGATGGAACCTCGTAGGATAGGAAAGGCAGGTTGTATGACAAGTGTGAGTTCCAGCACCTTTTTTTATATATAAAAAAGCACTGGTTATTTCTATACATGCTGCCCATTCTTTAAGGCAGTGGTTCTCAACGTTTGTGTGACGGCGACCCCCGTCACACAAACGTTCTGCGCATGCGCGGCGCCGCGCGCATGGGGGCACCGCCCCATGGGTGGTGCGCATGTGCAGCACCCCATGCGCGGTGGTGGCCCCATGCATGGCACGCATGCGCGGTGGTGGCCCCATGCGCAGCGTGCATGCGCAGCGGCGCCCCCTGAGGGGAGAAAATGGCGGATCACCTTCTTTGGCGACCCCCAAAAAATGGTTGATCGACCCCAAATGGGGTCGCGACCCATAGGTTGAGAACCACTGCTTTAAGGTATAATTATTCATAGAATAACAGAGTTGGAAGGGACCTGGGAGGTCATCTAGTCCAACCCTCTGCACAAGCAGGAGACCCTATACCATTTCAGACAAATGACTGTCCTGGCTCTTCTTGGAAGTCTCCAGTGAGGAGGCAACCACAACTTCTGAAGGCAAGCCGTTCCACTAGTTGATTGTTCTCACCATTAGAAAATTTCTCCTTAGTTCTAGGCTACTTCTCTCCTTGATTAGTTTCCATCCATTGTTTCTTGTCTTGCTTTTTGGTCCTTTGGAAAATAGTTTGACCCCTTGTCTTTGTAGGAGTCCCTCAAATATTAGAACACTGTTATCATGTCACCCCTAATCATTTTTTCACTAGACTAGACATACCCAGTTCCTGCAACTGTTCTTCATCTGTTTTAGCCTCCCTTAAATACAGAAGCAGCTTCTATAATAATTGTTTGACTTTTGATAAATGAAGGCTTTTTTAATTACTGCTTTCTTTTTAATCCCAAAATATGCTATTAATATGTCCAGTCAGATCCAGTATTTTTTAACTTGTCATACTTATCGATATAATAAGTTTTTTCTACTACATTCTGCCTACTCTTTGAGGTATAATTATTCTTGCTTAGCCATTATGAGTTCAAAATCTGAACTCCTGTATATCTGCAATCTTCCCAGAATATACTATTTAATATTGCTAGCAGTAGGAAAGTTGAACAAGGTTGATTGATAAGAAGTGTGTTTATGTAGCTCAATCTAGCTCTTATCCTAGCTACAATATCTCTGAATTAACATAATTGCCTGGAATAAAATATGGAAGAAACACTTGCTGTTGTTGTTCCACTGGATTTTTTTAGTCCTCAAAAAAAAAAAAAAAAAAAAAAAGGGTTCAAGCAAGAGAGAATTCCTTATAAATTAGGCTTCTGGAACTACTTTTCTGTTTAAAAAAAAGTTAGCAGTTTATACACTTTTCCAGATCCATTACTGTACATAACATACAAAATGTGGTAGACAACAAGCTAAATCTAAAAAATATATAATGAATTATTTTATATATCAAAAACAGAATCACTTTTGAATGTAGAGATAAGCTATATACAGAGTATTGGATACTGCCTGAAAAATAGCAGTATGAAATAAATGTTTTCTCATACTTTGTAACTTTCTATAGGACAATTTTATCATGTTATGTAGCTATGACTATAAATATATTTTATTTGTTGGACAAATAATAGTATGATTATAAGGTGCATATTCATTACAATATCTGATTTCCTTATATTATGCTCATATATAAGTATATCAGATATACCGTTTTCTCATGCTCTATGTTACGTTTGTATCCTCCAAGATTATAAGGGAATATATGTAACACTCCATCTTCCAGGTTTTCCCCATCAACTACTGCAAGATTTTTCATTTGGCTGTTTGATCATTTAATATAATTTGAGCTCCTAAAGCAATATGGAGCATAAGAAAAATGAACAAAGCATATAAATTAAAAGAGCCCTCAAATTTCTTACAGCACCATCACACGTGCATTCTTTTTTAAACATTATTTGGGATATACAGTAGATTCAAAATATTTTCAGGCAGATTAATGTTGTTAAATCATAAGAAATACTTATTTAAACTTTTACTGAGTTTCCAAAATTGAATATTGTAAATGCCTTGTTCTACAGATCATAAATAACTGGTAATATTAATGTTAACCATATATTTAAACTTCTGATAAAAAAAATAAATTATTGGTTTTACTTTAAATATAGTTCCTCTTAAACATCCAAGCATTTTAGGTGTTTTTGAAGCTGCTAAATTGTATGGGTCCCATTGTAATCAACTAAAATGTTTTGATGATTTTTCTGATTCTGTCTGTTGTGTCCTGAGCCTGCAAAAGCAGGCTCAGGATGTTGCATTCATCCCGGGCATTCCAAAAGCTGCCCAGGACCAGACAGACTGGCGCTGGCCTTGTGCGCATGCGCAAAGCATGAAAATGCTCTGTTCCTATTGGTTGACACTGTCCGGGCTTCTGGCCATATAAAAAAGCCTGCGTGCCTTTTGCTTTTGTTTGGTTGTTGTAGAAGGAGAATAAAGTGTTTGTTCAGCATCGCCATGTATCTTCATCATTCGCATGCGAACAAAGTATACAACACTGGCGACGAAGGTGGGATCCTTTGCAAGCTGAAACAAAAGATTTAAGGACTTACCCAAGAAGTCCTGAAGAGGGGAAGACGGCGTCTGAATCAGCATCCCAGCCTGCCAGTACAGCATCGCTGGAGGGTGAGCTCGGCTAAAGGACCCTTTCCCCAAACAGCAGCTTGCAGAGGAAGCGAGTGGTGAAGGTCGTAAAGTTTACGATGTCGAAGATTAGCCACTTGACTGATTTCGATGTCTCCCACCCAGAGAGATGGAATTCCTGCATATCATGGGTGGAGAACTACTTCAGAGTAAATCAGATTAGAGAAGATGGCCTGAAGGCAGCAACTCTTTTGTGTGCCTGTGGACAAGAAGCATTTGACATCACAGAAAATCTGGTAGTCCCTGCACCTCTGCAGTCAGTAACATATGCTGACTTGAAGAAAATGTTGAAGGAACATTTCCAGCCGAAGTTATCCATCATTGCTTGGAGGCACGCGTTCGAGCAGAGAGACCAGAGGCCGGGTGAATCTGCTGCGGACTTTATTGCGGCCTTAAGGCAAGCAGCCAGACCTTGTGAGTTCAAGGATCTGGAAGAGAGGCTGCGAGATCATTTTGTCTGTGGCTTAAGGAGCAGAGACTTACAACAAAAGATTTTTGCAAAAGAAGATGTCTCTTTCCAAGAAGTGTTGCAAGAGGTGGCAGCTGAGGAAGCAGCAGGTGGGGCCTTGGGCCTCGCCAGGAATCCTCCAGACACAGCTACCGTCCATCAAGAGGATGCTCGAGAAGGATCAGAAGTGAATCCTGAAGAGGAGGTCGACAGACTTCACCAGCCTGCTGAGAGAAGGCAGAAGGGATGTCCGGTCAAGGCCCCAGCATCTCTTCAACGCTTCAGGTGCAGAGGATGCCACAAGCGAGCTGACTGCAGGTTTCGCTCTGCCATTTGCAGGGCATGTAGCAGGCAGGGCCACATTGCATCCATCTGTTTGGGTCGCCAGAAGGTTCAACCTCGGGAAGAATTGCTTCAGAAAGGTACCAGGATCCCCAGCAAAACAGGGTGGGTTTCTGTGCATCACACAGGAGCATTCTAAGAACAGGGACACACAAGCCCCTTAAGAAGAAACTTTCCATTAACGTAAGGTTGGAAGGGGTTCCCTTACTGATGGAGTTGGACACAGGGTCCGCTCTTTCCATTATTTCAATTAATACCTTCAAAAGGATTTTCAGCAGTAGTGGCCTTCGAGTTAAACTCAGGCCATCAAATCTAATACTCACTGATTTTCAAAATTTTATGGTGTGTGTTAAGGGGGAGGCCACCCTTAAGGTACAGTATAAGGATTTTGAAGGTTCCCTAGATGTGGTGGTTGTTGGGGGTGAACTCGATTGGTTCGAGGCTCTGGGACTCCAGGTAACTGGGCCGCACAGCTTGCAAACGCTGGGCCTTGCAGAGGTTGCAAGGAGTTTTCAGATGTGTTTAGTTCAGAGCTAGGATCCTACAAGGAGCCTCCCATTTCGCTACCATCACGCCCATCAGGGTTAAGCCTAGGAGGGTACCTTTTGCCCTCAAAGGTAAGATTGATGCTGAGCTGGACAAATTGCTCCAGCAGGGCATTCTAGAACCTGTGGATTCTAGTCCATGGGAAACCCCCATAGTAACACATCTAAAGTATATGTGCAGACTGTAAGTGCACACTGAATAAGGCGCTGCAACAGCACGCTTATCCAGTGCCTGTGGTAAGTCACATTCTGGCCTCCCTCAAGGGGGGACGCATTTTTGCGAAGCTTGACCTGGCACAGGCCTATCAACAATTATCTGTTGATGAGGCAGTTGCAGAAGCCCAGACTATTGTAACTCACAGGGGGACCTTCAAGTTCAAGAGACTGCAATTTGGGGTAAATGTAGCCCCTGGCATATTCCAAAGTGTCACGGAGAGCACACTTCGAGGTATTCCTGGGGTCTGTCCCTACTTCGATGACGTCCTCATTGCTGGGGAGTCATCTCAAAATTTAGCAGAAAGATTAAAGGCTGTCTTGCTTTGTTTTCAAAAAGCAGGCCTTAAACTAAAGAAGGATAAATGTAAGATAGGAGTCACTTCTACTGACTTCTTAGGATTCAGGATTGATGCTCAAGGCATTT